AAATGCATATTTTATTACAATAGAACAATGTAACAAAATTGTATGCTTACTGGAAGGCATTCGATACCAATTATAAATACAATTCAATGTATAATTCGACTTTTATTTACTGATTTATTATGATTTATTATTATTTATGATTTATTGATCAAAAGATTCAAAATTAATTTTAAAAATAATTGATAGTCCCTCACCACATCTTCGGCCAGAGTTTTGATTCTATCCAGAACGCAATATGATAATACCTTATATGTTGTATCTAATAGCGCTATTCCTCTATAATTACTACAGACTTTCTTGTCGCCTTTTTTATGAATTGGGAATGTATATGCTATTTTCCAATCTACTGGTAAAGTTTCCTTTTCCCACATTTCTTTTATTAACATACATATACTTTATATCATAAGCATTCAACAATACTAGATGAGAAAAACTTTTTCATTATATGTTTAAGATAGGTTTAGACTTCAAAGACAAAAGATTAATACATAAAATATACATAAATTAATCAAAAAGTTGTAGTAAAATGTAAATTTGATACATACGAAGAGTCGAAAGTTCAAAAAGGAGTAAAACAAGCAGTGACGTATTTTCAAATTTACTGTGGGGGAGAGGCCAAGAAGATTTTTTTCTGGGTGGTTGAGACCTGGGACCCCCACCCCCCGTAAATACGCCACGGACTATAATAGACGGCGTACTAATATAATTATATATATTACGTCGTTATCGTCGTCGGCGACGATGCGGCAAAAATAACCAAAAATTAAACCCAAGTTATTTATACAAATGTAGGTAATACAAATATTAAAAACAATAAAAAACACACAATATTAATTAATATTCACTTTCTCGGTACCTATGTAGCAAATTATTTATGACTTTTTAATCTTTATTTTCCGAGGGGATAGAGACCTGGAAACTTCCCCCGTAAATATGCCACTGAAAACAAGGGTGTAATTTATTACCTATATTATTTAATTTATATATTGAGCAAGCGCTAAAATATCTGAGAGATGAAGATATAGAAGGGATCAAGATTGGTAAAATGCTAGTTCAGATGGTGCGATTTTCAGATGATATTGCTATAGTAATAGACAGTGAAAAAAACTAGAAGAAATGCTTCAAAAAATGGATATAACACACTTAAACAAGAATACAATACGAATACTAATAAGACAAATATATTAGTTGGTAGCAGACAACAAGTAGATATCATTATAATCATGGACATAATTATGTATATTATAGGGTTGCCATAAATGTATAAGGCGAAACCAGGACAATACATACAATACAATAATGTGTTTACATTATTGAGTAACATACTTTTAAATAACTCATAATATATTGAGAGGACCAGTGGCGTATACAAGGGGGGGATGTAGCGGTTAAATTCCACCTAGGATTTTTTTTAAATATTATAAAATAATGTTCATAGTATGAGGGTGTTAAAAACGTAAAAAAAAATAATGACAAAATAAAAATAATGATTTGTTTGCAAATGATCCCTCCACCATACAAAAGTTATGTGTATACGCCACTGAAGAGGACCATTAATGGCCGGCAATACAATATTTAAAAATATTTTTGTAAAATAAAATACATTATATAATTATATGTGTAAATTACAAATTATGTTTTTATTATATATTGTCAATCGATTACGATTAAAAATGTGCTTTGAGATAAAATGGTCGAAATTAAAAATTAAACAATACTACATTTCCTCTAAACGTCTAACTCGGGACATACGGACGTCCCGAAAACATTTTCGGGACACCGGGACACGAAGTCCAAAAACGGTGACAATCTGTTTTCCAGGACGTATGGCAACTCTAGTATATTATGTATATTTTACTGACCAACAATAGAACACAATACGTATTATGGATGGGTCGTTCGCGAACGATTTGATCAATTTAAACGAATCGATTCAATGAGCGAAATGATTTAGATTCAGAAAGTTTATTTATATACGTTTTGTTCATAACTTCGTTAAAATTTCGACCAACTACGAATCATCATAAAAGCCTCATTTACGCGTGACGAGCGCTCGGCCGAGTAAATTGTTTCGTTGCTCGGCCTATAGGCTATAGCAGCGGTTCTCAATTTGTGCACCACGAGCACTTTCTGAGGGCACCGCAGTCTACATAATAGTTCATAATAGTTTAAAATGTATAGAATTTTTTTTCCTTATTGTTTTTGTAACAACTTATTGTTATATTATGTTATTTATTGTATTGTTTTCTATTGTATATTCGGACATTCTCATTTTAACTTTATAACATTTTATGTAATAACCAGAGCTCGGATGTTTATGACTTGGCATATTTTTTTTGCGCAGCAAGAATTACACCGGAGTGATATACATTTGATGAGATATACATTTGATTCATGAAGTCTATATTACAAATAGGCAATTTTTTTTGCATATTTTTGCATATTTGACATTTTTGAGCATATAAATGCATTTATTGATCATGTCTAGGTTTAGTGGCATATTTCTAATATTTTAAATGTAATATAAACACACTTTATATGGACGGCCATAATGCGATAGAAAATGAAAACTCATATATTTATATCAATATGTATACACGAATGTCGGAATTACCTGTCGACAATCTTTATCTTATCGTTCATCGATAATAGACTCATTGAGTAATATTATTCTATGAATAGACTATAGTATAAGTATCGGTAAGTATAAGACCTGATTCTCACTACAGACAGTGTTGCCAGACGTACGGAAGCAGTTGGGGGAATACGGTAATTCTATAATGTGTACGGTATGCGGACGGATGAATAAAAACGATGATACAAGATACGGTAATTTGAATTGTTTCCGATTACTATAAAAAAAAAATAATAAAAATATAAACCATTTAAAAATGTTGCTAGTTTTATATTAAAAGTTCTAAGCTTACTTCACTCTTCAATTGATTGCGAGAGGATGTTTTCATTAATTAATTTAATAAAAACCAAAGTTAAAATTAAACTAAGTACTGAAACAGTTAACAGTTTGTTCTTAGTAAGTGAATATATGAACCAAAGAACTAGTTGAGTAAAATTTGAACCAAAAAGAGCAATAATAAGCTCAATTACCAAACATATTTATGAAAAACAAGAAATTACCAAAGAAACAGACATTCAAGGTAATTTGGACATTTTAAAAAAATAAAAATTGGACTATTTTTATGAACTAATGTGATTATATAAATGTTTTTGTTTCTTGATGAAAAAATATAGGTATGTACGATAATTACACATCCGATACGGACATTTTAATCATATTCCCTTAACCGCAGTCATTATAGATCTGGCAACATTGATTACAGGTAATGTAACGGTCCGTTACAAAAACGTACTGTCAAACCGTCAAAGATCTTTCAAATTTGAAAACATATCTAAAATCATTATTATACAGTGTAATCTTCACTTTTAAATTATTTAACCTATGTAATATGAATTTTATTATATTAATTTATACTTATAGTATTTTATTTCTATTATGTATTTTAAAATCAAGTTATTTTAATATCATTTACAAAAAAAAAAAACTACTGAATTACTATCATCCCATTTTTTGTAATTGTTTAATTGTTAAAATGTAATTAAAATTGAATTGTGTAATTGTTTAAAATAGGTATAATATTTAGTGCACATTAATAGTGTATCTTGTAATATCTTGTTTTGCGTACATTTTTTTACATATATTTATTGAAAAATAGATATATTTGATATATTTGCATATTTTTAAATTTTTAAATGCATATTTTTATGAAATTCTGATCATAAACATCTGAGCTCTAGTAATAACTATAATAATAATAACATTGATTCACTTTTATTTATTTTCCAAGTATAAAAATGCATTAATTTATTATTAAGTTAAACTTTAATAAAATTATCAATGAGTATTTTTTTTTTGCTCTGTCTTTCATGTTATTCACAACAGGGTACTGTGGCTAAATTGGGTCCAAAAAAAATTTGAAATCGCTGGATTATAGTACCGAAATTGACCGAATCAGCGTCTATACACATTATATTCGCTAGGTCAAATGACACATGAGTTCACTACACGTTAATCTATGGTTCACTACACGATATACTCGGCTGGTGGTTTAGACACGCCGAGTAAAATTAATTTTGGTTGTATTCGGTCGACCGAGTGAATAGAAACGTATTTTATTTACTTGCTCACTCATTTTACTAGGCCAAGTGCTGGCCGAGTACTAGTTCACACGGGACAGTGCTCGGCCGAGTACTCGTCACGTGTAAACGAGGAAGAAGTTCAGAGTAGCAAGCTGCACTATTACTAACTTGCGGCTGTTCTCCGACCGCCGACTGACTATTCCATCTTATAATATTTAAATATATAATACTTATCATGTGGTACCAACTATCAGTTAATATTACTGATGACAACTGATGAGATTCGGATGATTACTTTTATTTCCATTAACAAAATTCAAAAGCAATACAATTGAATATTAACATTTTCATTAAGATGCGTCCCAGTGGTTACTGGATATTTTGTTTGTAAAAGTTTTGTGCTCAATGCTCATGACTTGCGTTTAAATTAATTTATAATGTAATTTAATTTATAATTATTTAATTATGATATAAGAAAAATATATAATTGATTATCATTACGTATAATAAGTAATAACTGAATGAGTTTAAACTCTTTTTAATGTTGGTGAATCACACGAATCGGATGAAACACTCCTTTGACCGAATCAATTTATTGAATTGATTCGAATCAGTTTAATGATTAATTTTTCCCATCCCTAATACGCATCTGTGATAATGGGAACACAATAAGGTCTAACCTAACCAGTATTTGAGTACGCGCCCGTCATCTGTAGGCTGAATGTCGAACTACGAACGCGATCGGTTGGTATCAGTGTTAGAATTTCATAACGGTCGGTCAGATTTTCAGTTTATAGAATAATTGATGTTTTGCGCCTGCGCTGATGTTTGTAGTGTTGTTGGGGTGGTGTACTGGTGTTAAACTGTTAACTACTATATTATGATATTATTATTATATATACAATTTTTTTCTTATGTGATTTCTTATTGTATATGTCCAAATCATTTTTTTTTTTTTTTTTTGTTATTTTTTTTCAATTCTGTAATCCTGTATCATGTAATACGTTTTGAATGGTTTGATAGTAGTCACCGACGGATCGGCCCATGACTCCCGATTGATTCTATAATTACGTTATTTAAGTGCCAAAAGTGGTGAAGAGACCATGACATGAGAATTTAGCAAACTATCCGCGCTGTGTTTGAGAGGTACCAATAAACAATTATTACTAACCGTGCGTATATGAGATATTTCGTGCTATTATAGTTTTCCAACCATTGACTTATCACTAGTGTAGATGTTAAAACAACTTATGTTCAACGTTTAAATCAATTAATTGTCTACTAACCAGAAGTCTTTAATTTTTGACGATTAAAATATAATTTTTCATTCAAAACGCGCAATCGAGTTTAACTACAGATGGGCACTAATATTTTTGAAACTTGATTTATCATAAATTTCATGAAAAATGAATTGTAATGACTATTGAACCTTTAGAAACAAACATTTAACTTAACAATTGTATTTGAGCATGTATTTGTTGTTACTAAAATTATTTTTTATTACAGATTTAATTCAGCACATAATGGCTGAATCTAAAGAGCTGAATGATTTGGTTATCGATAATAGCCTAAATATTGATGAATTACAGACAGAATCAAATGTTCTCAATTCAGATGAAAATCATAAATCAATTGAAGTATCTAATTTAGATGATAATTTATTGAGCAGTAATAATACTGAAAATACAGTGACTCTTCTTTGCAATCAAGATTTACCTGATGATAAAGAAGTTGATTCTATAATTGAAACCAATGTCCTCAATTCTGATGAAAATCTTGAGTCAACCGAATTATATAATTTGGATGGTAATTTATTGAGCAATAATAATACTGACAATACACTGACTTCTCTTCACAATCAAGATTTACCTTATGACACAGAAGTTGATTCTATAGTTGAAACTAACATCCTTAATTCTGATGAAAATCATAAATCAACCGAATTATCTAATTTGGATAGTAATTTGTTAAGCAGTAACTATACTGAAAATTCACTGACACCTCTTCGTAGTCAAGATTCACCTTATGATACAGAAGTTGATCCTATAATTAAAACAAACCTTCTCAATACTGATGAAAATGATGAATCAACTGAAGTATCTAATTTGGATAATAATTTGTTGAGCCATAACGATACTGAAAATACACTGACACCTCTTCAAAGTCAAGATTTACCTTATGATACAGAAATTAATCCTGTAATTGAAACAAACCTCAATTCTGATGAAAATGATGAATCAACCAAAGTATCTAATTTGGATAGTAATTTGTTGAGCCATAACGATACTGAAAATAAACTGACACCTTTTCATAATCATGATTCACTTAATGATGCAGAAGTTGATTCTATAATTGATAAATCTATAATTAATAATCAAAATCTGGATTACAAAATTGGTGATATTGTTTGGGCTAGAATTGGGAAGTATCCATTTTGGCCTAGTGTTGTCTGTGTTGATCCAACATCAAACACTTATATAAGTAAGATTTATGGGTTTTTATACATTACTGCTAAAATTATTACTTTTAATATTTTATTTTATAAAAATAATTTAATGATTTTAGATAATTTAATTTAATTATCTATTAATATTTAAATTTAATATTTTTTTTTTTTTCAATATCAAATAATATAACTATTGAATATGCAATTATAACATACGTTCAGTATTTATTTTAATATACAACTTAGTAGGGATAAGATTTATCACTTATTCTATAATAAAATACAAAATGAATTAGGGCCAAAACATGTTAAATTCCATGTTATGTGGTTCTCACTTATTTACCATTTTTACCTTTTATTGAATATATTTTGAAATCCTCAGAATTACTTGTACTTTTTCTAACATTAACATTTATTTTATAATGTATTATTGAAATTACTTTTGAATAAACATCTGTTTTGATAAAATAATGCTACATTCTTACACAATATTTGTGCTATATCTAGTTTATTAGCAAACCTTTTTTCTATTTCATATATTTTTCATTATTTTTTAATCTATTATTTATGTACAATTAATAATAATTGGTTACAAAATTTTCAATTTTTGTTTGATGTATTATTTTCACTATAGGTCAACGGGTTAAGTACCTAACAGTTAAATAAACACCCAATTTTCTAACTTCAGATGAAATATAAATATATAATTGATTACTAACATTTTTTATTTATAGTTTTTAAGATTTCGAAAAAAAAAATCCTAATATAAATAATATATTTATAGTTTAAATTATATTTTTAGTAAATATACTTATATAGGGTTTAAGCTATTATATTTTATTTTTTAGATTTTTAGTTATAGAATGTACATTTTTTTTTTTTTTTTTATACAGAAGACAAAAAATTTATGATACACGTACGATTTTGTAATGATAAAGGTAGGCGTAGTTGGACAAGATTTGTGGAAAAATTTTTGGGCAAAAATGAGTTCTTTTTAAAATATCCTAATTGTTTTGTAAGTATTAAATTATTAATATGTTGTATTTCGTATTAAAAATACTTAACTTTAATGAAAAATGTTATTATTATTAATAATTATAGTCTACCCTTAAGTATAATAAAAAGTTATTGGCTACATGGGATTTGGCAATTGAAGAAGCTGAGCATTTATGTAAACTTGATGGGTAATATTTTAGATAAAAGTGATTACAACTTTTATAATTTTTATTTTGTTGTTTAAACTATTTCAATGATTAAATTTATTGTTTTAGAAAAGTTAGAATGATTGAGTTCTTCAAAACATTTTCTACAGAAAATGTGACTTGTGTAACTCCTTCTTCAAGTAATTCTTGTGAAGGTGCTGCTACTGTAAGTTTATATAATAATTTTAAAAATTTATTTATATGTCATTATAAAATTGTTTTCTTTTTAGGAATTGAAAGTATGCACATATTCAAGAAAAAGATCTCTTACCATTTCAGAACAAGGTAATGCTTTTAAACTATTTAAGACTGAAAACATTTCTGTGGATGGTAGTACATCATCAAGATCGATTGATATTTCTCTACTATCAAAATCGGATGACATAGATAGTACTCTTTCTGATATTTCTATGAACTCTGTTTATATTGAAGATGCATTAGGTTTAAAAAAACGAGGAATAACAAGAAAAAGAAGATCTACAAAAACATATCTGCCGAAAAGTTCAAATATTGATAAATATAACTCATCTGATTTAATTATGACTTCTCCAGAGTATAATGATGATAATATATTACCATATGATCCTGATAAATTAACAGCTACAACCATGACTTCTACTTCCACTCGAATGATACCCTTGCAAAGGAAACATGAAATTAGGTATGCAAAATACTAAAGTAACTATAATATAAGTGTATATAATGTCCTAATGACTTGAAAATTCAACGAAAGAAAAACATTTTGAGATATTCAATTGCTTGAGCATGTAAAAAATATAATATTTATTCTTCAAACATATTTAAAAAATTTCTTGAAACTAAGATTTAATTGAGACTATAAATACTAAATATTAAATATAATAAAATACTAAATAGTTACAAAGATGTTTTAAATCTATATTTATTAATAAAATAAAAATTAGTTTAATTGAAATTAATTAATAAAAAAAAATATATTTTGTTTTAAAAATGGTTAAAATTACTACATATATTTGTTAAGTAATGTTATACTTATGAAATTATTATGGAAAATATAAATTCTTGTTATTTATATATTTTTGTTCTATTTCATAAACAAAAATAATAATATTGTCTTTCTTATATTTTGTACTGTAGAATGTTAGAAGGTTATTATGAACAAGAAGATGAAATTTATTCAAATTCTCGCTATTCTAAAAGAAATGTAATTTCTAAGAGGTAAATTAAAATGCATAGTTATTTAAATATATAACTATAATGTGTATAAGTATTTTCTTAATTTTTTTTTCAGTTCATCTAATTCTAAAAAAACAGCAATAAAAAAACCCCGTCAAAGGTAAAATTTAAAATTATTTAAGTATTAATATTTGTGATGGTAATAAATCATATCAATTTTTTTGTTTTTTATCTTTTTATATTTGTTTAATTATTATAATTTTATTTTAGAAAATCAACTTCTACTAAAAACAAGAGTGAAAGTAGTCCAGAACCAGACACGGCAGAAAGTGAAGTATCATCTAAGAATGAAACATTTAGTTCAATTTATGTGGCTAGTACAAAAAACAAACAACTCTTTATAAAAACTTTAAAGAGAGCATGTGTAGTTTGTAAAAATATTGAAGATACTATAAAATGTATGGGCCCATGTCAAAGTTATTTTCATAAAGAATGTTTAGATAAAAGTGAAGAAAGATATCATAAAAGTGAACCCAAGATTAAGATAAAAAATAAAAAATATGGACGTTCTAAAAGACAATACACAAAATCTTCAGTTAAAAATCGTAACTCTGTTACTTGTGTTCCACAACTAACAAAAAACATAAATGATACAGATATTGATGAATTAAATGAGAAAGATAATACAGTAACTAAATCTTTGAATGGTTTGAAGTCATTACCTAATGAACAAGGTGATCTTGGTGAAGAAATTAAAGTGCATGATCTACTTGAACTGAATAAAACTGAAAAAGATAGTAAAATTATTATTGGTAATGTACATGAGATAGAATTGAATGAAATAGAAAATTTATCTAAAGAATCAATTGAAGAAAACAGTGATCCTCCAATTATATCTACAGATTCATCTGTATCTAAAGAGAAACTATCTAAACCTGATTTACAATATTTATGCAGCTTATGTAGAGTTGATAAAACTTACTGTTATATATGTGGATTAGATATTGAAGATTCTGGACAAAGGATTGCTTGTAAAATATGTGAGTTATTTAAAAATAAAACTGAAAACATTAATGTATTTTAAAATTTTGAGCTAATTGGATAAAGTAGTAGTTTTAGTAATTTAATTAAAAAAAAACTAAATTATTTTATCTAGTGTATTAAATATTCTAAAGATTTAATCAAGTTGATTTTAACTTAAATTTAAAATACAACATAATTTAATATTTTCAATTTTAATGATATCAATTTATTTTTGATATTTTTAAAATGTAAAGATTATATAATTAAAGTTAATAATCAACATTGTCCATTTTTTTTTTTTTAATTTTATATATCATTTGATATTCAACTTGAATTATTTTGCATTTTAAATGTTAATAATATTGTAATTTAAGTATCATGTGCTAGGTCAAAAGTAAATATATAAAATATAAGTCTTTTTATAATCTTTAGCTAGTTGTGGAAAGTATTATCATGAAAACTGTTTAAGAGATTGGCCCCAATGTCAATGGATTCAAGGATCAAGGAATAATATACGAACTGTGATCTGTCCACATCATGTTTGTCATTTGTGTATTTCCGATAATCCTAAAAGTTCTTGTCAAACTCATTTTCCTGCTGAAAAATTATCTAGATGTATTAAATGCCCAACAGCATATCATAGAAGTAATTATATTTCAAATAACCTTTAATTTTTAAAAATTATTTTTATCTATCCTTATACTAATTAATATTAACAGGTGAATATTGTTTACCAGCTGGTAGTGAAGTTTTAACTTACAGTGATATTGTTTGTAGCAGGCATTTTGAACCACTTAAATTGCAAAATTATCATTATAATGCTACTTGGTGCTTTATTTGTACATTAGGTAAGTATAGAAGATGCTGTTTAAGCTTACTAATTAATTTTAGCTTTTATAAATACATATATTATTTTATAAGGTGGTGCATTAATTTGCTGTGATCTGTGTCCTTCTTCATTCCACATAGAATGTTTAAATCAGAATCCATCAGAATTTGTATCCGGTTTTACTTGTGAAGAATGTCAAACTGGACGATATCCATTATATGGTGAAATTGTTTGGGTTAAGATAGGCAATTATAGGTATGATTAATTATTTTCATTGATGTTATATTATGTACCTAAATTACTGTACTTTATATGGATTTACATTGTTGAAACACCAAAAGTATATTTATGTTATTAATGTTGTATATTATATTTATTTAGAATTCATTAACTAATTATAAAATTATTAAATTACTTATTTTAGTATATATTGAAATATTTAAAATAAATCTAATTATTCGTTAAGTTAGGTTGTCTTAATGATAAGGAAATTCCATGGATAACATAAAAGAGGCCAATAATTCATACATTAGTTTATCGACATTTTATAATTATTTAAATATTTACATTTTTAATTTTCTATAAAAAAAATTGGTTAATTGGCTTTGTTTTATTGTATCATAATTAATTAAACGTACATAATATTAAAGGGATAATTGAGAGTTTAATGTTTATATGAATTTTTATTGAATTATTTTTTATTTATTTTTTTTGATGACATTTTTATCAAATACATTTATTCTCATAATTTTTTAGACATTTTATATTTCTTAAATATGTATAAGAAATAATTTCTTCAAATAATTAAATTTGTTCAGATGGTGGCCTGCTCAAATTGTTTTTCCAAATCAAGTTCCTGATACTGTTAACGCAATAGCACATTCTGTGGGGCAGTTTGCTGTACGATTTTTTGGATCATATGATTATTATTGGGTGAATCGTGGCCGAGTATTTAATTTTCATGAAGGGGTAATTGAGTGAAACATTTCCAATAGCCATAATTTATATTATTTTATTTAAAAAATATTTCAGGATGATGAAAATATCTTAACTAAAAGTAAAATGAAGGTTATTGATCAAGTATTTCAAGATGCCATCATAGAAGCAGCTCAAGCTCATAATGCTTACATTTTAGATAAAGACAAAAATGATGCTATAGTAGCAAAAAAATATTCAACAGTATGTTTTACTTCTATTTTAAATTAATCACAATTTATCCTTGACAAATAATTAACTGAATTCTAGAGGCCTCCAAAATTTGTGCGAATAAAATTTAACAAACCCTTTGGCAATGTAAAAAATATGGAATTAAACACTAACACAATGACTCCTTGTGAATGTGACTCGACCAAGCCAAACCCGTGTGGCCCTGGTTCTGATTGTATAAATAGGTATTTGATTTTAATTATTTTTGTAATTTTTAGAATTCTTTTACATTTTATAATTTATAGAATGCTCATGTTTGAATGTCAACCACAAATTTGTCCGGCTGGAGACAAATGTAATAATCAGAGATTTACAAAAACCATTTATCCTAATATGGTTCCATTTTTGACTAAAGGTAGAGGCTGGGGTCTGAAAACTTTAGAAGATATTAAAGAAGGTATATTGAAAATATTTATATTTTTGTAATAAATTTTGATTAATTGATTATCATGATTTTAGGATCATTTGTAATTGAGTATGTTGGTGATGTTATTGATGAAGAAGAATTTCAAAGAAGATGCTTGGAAATGCATCAACGAAATGAACAAAATTATTACTTTTTAACAATAGATAATAGTAGAATGATAGATGCTGGACCAAAAGGAAATTTATCCAGGTAAATATAGTTTTCTTAACATAAAAAATAAATATATTTGAATGAAATGAACTAACATGTGATGTAAAATTTTAGTATAAATTTTAAGACCATAAAACTATGAATTATTAAAAAATTTAAATAAAAATATAATGACTATAAAATATTTGATTGTTTTAAAATAAATAAATATTGCATTCTATATTTAAGTATAATTATTTAAATTATATTGTTAATTCATTTTACAATTTAATAATTTGCCATGTTGTGTAAGAACCTAATACTTCAGGTTTAATGTTAATTTAAATATTTTTAAATAGGTTTATGAATCATTCATGTGAACCAAATTGTGTAACACAAAAATGGACTGTAAATGGAGATACTAGAATTGGACTTTTTGCTTTACATGATATTCCAAGTGGTACAGAGCTGGTATTTGATTATCGTTTACAAAGTTGCTCAGGAGTTGAGAAAAAACCGTGTCAATGTGGAGCTGCTAGATGTTCTAAATTTATTGGAGTCAAAGTGGTAATTTTTATTATAATAAAATGTTATTATTTTTTTATTTAATTAATAATTATTATTAACTAGATTATTATTTTTTATGAAATTTTATAGGAAGAAGAAAAAAAGAAAATGGTTTTAACAAATGATGCTGAAAAATCTAAGACTACTACAAAAAATAAACGGAAACCATTAAAACTAAAGGTAATTCAATATCAGTAAATAATTTAAAGAAGTAAAATAGGGTTTTACATTACATAAATTATTAAATCTTAATTTTGCTATTTTTAGTCTAATTTTATTTATTTTTATTGCCTAGGACAACATTTCGGATTCAGAAAAGTCTAAATCAAACAAAGTAACTAAAAATGATCAAAACATTTCTACTGCTGAAAATGAAGTAATGATGAATATTTCTAATTATTTTCATTATGTTTATTATTATGATTGATAATTTTATTTAGGTTAATGTAACCAAAGTTGAAAGAGATGATTCTAAAAAACCAAAAAATAAAGCATCCGTTAGAAAACTGTCATCTGTTATAAAAGTACTTATTAATTATTAATGTATAAAGAATAATTTAAATCTTATGTGTATTTATTTTTTATATTTATTTTAGAATGAAAATTCTGTACTCACAGACTCGCCTAATACTATTCAAAAGAAATGGAAAAATTCAAATAAAATAAGCACCAATATAACCAAAGTATGTAGTCGTGTAATAATTTAAGAAACTTCCATTCTACATATTTTTTTAAAAAAAAAAGAAAGTTTATTACTGTCAATACTTAATTGTAAATTTACTCAAATAACTCAAAATGTTAAATAGTCTCTTCATAAAATTGGAACATAAAAAAGACTTGTTTTTACATATATATATATATATATATACGGATTGGGTAATTTTTGGTTAAAATATTTACTTTTTTTATTTTATTAAGGTATTGCTTTAAATAAAATAGTTGATTTAAAATTGTATTTCAATTAACTAAATACATTCCATATAACAAGTATTAATAATAATTTAAATTCTAGAAGAAAATTACAATGAATGTACACATTTTCTATTATGTTTTATGTAGACAGTTAACATAAATCTGTGGTTCCCAGTCTATCTAGAGTTATTAATCAATTAACAATTTATCAGTTTTTAATTAATTGGGCTATTATTATTTTTTGAATAATTACATAGAATTAGATCATTGCTATAGCTAAACTATGTTGTATGATTATATAACATATGTGTGTTGTTACACGCTATCGTATAGTTGATTCTCAACTGTATAAAAAAAATACCATTACAGTATACTATCATACTATCACAGTGATACATAATAACAGTATGATAGTATGGTATGTAATACTTTGATATCACAATATTAATATTATAAAACTAAACTATGTTAATATAGACCTAACTTCATTGAAATATTTTTTCAAATTTAGTTTATGAAATGGTACAGATCTGTGGACTGTTTGAGAACCACTTATTAGACTATAATAAATGTAATTAACAATCCTAAAAAATAAATGATTTCATTTTTCTTATTCTCGATTAACCTCAAATATGATCTGACTAAATTGTGTAAATAAATATTTAATAATTAGATTTAATGGTGTAAATACACTTTAGTATTGCTTTCATATTATTATGTTTTTTAATGCAATGTAAGTTGTGATTTGATAGTTAAGAAGAAAAACACTATTATTATAATTAATTTATATACACTTGTTTAACATAATAATAATTTTAAATGATATTATATGTATATTACTTTAATATTTCTATTCTAAACAAATACATTAACTAAAAATGTTTATTCATTATTTCTTCGTTTGGTAAGCTGTCCATCTATTTTTGTTAAACTCTTGTCTATGTTGATATGATGCAGTATATTTTATATACAGAATTGATGTAATAAATTAATATTTAACTCTTAATATTACATTTTTTATAATTTTTTCTCATTTGATATTCAGTTAGCTCATAAACCATTTGATTACCAAGTTAGGTTATATCTTTTACATATTCAACAGTAAAATCATGTACATAATCAAAATGATTTTATTTTATATCTATATATTTTGTTGAAAAAATATATATTTAACAACCTTTCAATTTTTTTTATAAAATTATAAATAGCATAGGTTTTTCATAAACAAAAAAAAACTCTTTACTTAGAATAATTTAATTAATCAACTATCACTCAATATTTTATGAAGTCAACAAATGTCAATTTCATGTTTTTGGGTTGGAAAAATTTGCTGTCAGTTAAAAAAGAAAACTAAAATTGTTTGTTCTTCAACTTCTCTGTGACAGATTTTATTATTTTTTACTTTTTGACAAAATAAAATAAAAATAAAAAATGTGTAAATGGTTACTTGTAAATTATTATATATACAAAATTTATTTTCCAAAGGCTTAATATAGTTTATATATAAACTATTAGTTTATTTATTTAGATTAATAATTTATTATATAAGATTATTTTTTTCTGTATTAAAAAAAATATATTTATTATTTACTATTTCACTATTTACTGTACAAAAATTGTATGTGGAGAAGTGTATTTAAGTTAATCTATGATTATAAATTCTTTTAGTTTATTAAAGATGGAGATTTATGAAATAGATGTATTAAAAAAAATTTAAAAGTTGAAGTGCTAAAATTAATAAGTATTGATAGTATTAATTGTATATAATTTTAAATTATTTATAAGAAAAATACTTAAAAAGTGATGATCAGTATGATTATAGATGAATATTAATTTTGTTATCAAATTTTTTGGTCAAAATCCAGTGCTAAAGTGAAAGTTTCTAAGTGAAAGTATTACGTTTCATAATATAACATGAATTATCACAAGGACAAAACAACATATTATGTTTTTACATTTTATATTTCCTTCAGTTAAATAAATATAATTTTTATTTTATTTATGTGTTAATAATTGAACAATAAAATAAAGAAAATAATTAATTCTAATTTGTTAAAAATATTCTTAAATCTCAATTTTAATAGTATTTTCAGCATGTTTAATTAAGTTCTAAAAATTAAAATTTCTATCTGAAGTTAATTAATATTTTATAAAAACATATTTTTCTATACATATATATGCTTTCAAATTTAAAAAAAATAATATGTAATAGTAATAATGTGTTATTTTATACATTTTATTTTGATTAAAATAAGTTCTATTAAATCTTTTTTGTAATTAAAATACCATATACATATTCTTTGATTTTAGTGGCAATTACTTTATAATTTGAATCGGGTAAATTTAAAATAATAAAAAAGTAGATGTCTAACTATGCATCATTTTTTTAATGACTAACATAATAATTTCTATTTATATCTTTAAAAAACAATTTTTTTGTTTTCAAAAAAATTGATAACAATAATTTGAATGGACTATGTATAGTTAAGGTATCTAATAATAATATTTTATCTTTAATATTTTTTAGTTTTAGTTAATATTTAATATATTTTCCATTTTATATATGTACATTTATTATTTTTAGGTTGATAACAATGTTAATTCTTTGGAACTTGAAGAAAATATTAAATCAAAAAGAAAGTTAAAACATACTTTATCCACACCTTCGAGAAAACAATTTATTAAAGTATGATTTTATTTGATAAATAATTTATTTTACCATATTTTGTGCTGTTTAAATTTTTTTGATAATCATCGAAAACTTATGTTTTAGTTACTGTACAAAAAAGACTAATATATTATGTTTTAGTGTTCACAAAAATGTACCGATATGTTTACTACTTAAATACATTTTTACTATGTATATACATTTTTAATTTAATATTGTTTAATTTTACCGAAACATACTGAAACATTGTTTGTATTCATACCTTTTTTTTTTTTTTTTACTTGTCAACAATCATTATGTTTTTTTATTTATATGATATCAATTACTTTGATAATTGCTCACTTATTATTTTATGAACTGTATATCTTAGGACTTAAGTTTAAGTATCAATTTTTTTACATTTTTTTTTTTATAAAACGATTTATTTAAAAAAAAAATATGATTTTCAGTCTCATACGGAATTATTAATTGTTGTCATTTTTTCTTATTTATTATATTACTCTCTATCCATGACTAATATGTCGACATATATTCAAAGAAATGCCTACTATATATATATATATATTATAGTCTTGTTAAGATTAAACTAGTTTCTAATTTATTAAGTTATTTTAATTTTAAATTAAATTCAGCTAATGTATAGAAATAAAATGTATACATTTATAGAAATAAAATAATAAAAAATAAAATAAAAGTTATAAATGATTAAATGGTTAATACTTGTAAATTAATATATAAATTAATAAACCAATAGCTTATATAAAGAAATAAGTAAATAAATGCTTGCCTGGATTATGATATCTGAAAAAATGACCAGTTTCAATTTAAAAGTTTTCAGTTACTTATAAAGTCAATAAAATTGCAACTGAATATGAAATTAAATAATATAAATATAAAGTCTTCCTTCATTTTTTTCAAATTCATTCGTGATTTTATTGACTGTATATACTTGAGGGATGAATTTTTAATTTGAAACCAGTCGTACTTTACAAATATAATAATACTTCAGCCTTAGCATTTTTTTCTTTCTATATATAAACTATTTATTTATATATATTTATAGTACTTGACATGAACCATTTATAAAAATTATGTTAAATTGAAATCCATTGTATTTATAAAATATTATAACATCAGATTTATACAAGATGTTTATAATTTTAGGATTATTCATCAGATACAGATGATTCAATCGTAATGAAAAAAAAACGAAAATGCAAGCGTTTTAAAAAAGTAGGCATAGTATATTTATATTTTGAATAACATTTAATTTTAAATTATAATTTTAAAAAATATAATTCACAAAATGACAAGTATTCAATTATTAAATTTGCGTTTTTAATTTAATTTTTGAAAAGTTACATTTCAAATTTTTTTTTTGCCAATTTTCCCACATTTTTTTATGAGAAGCAATTTAGAATTTAATTATTATTTTAATTTATTTTTCAGAAGAATGTAATCAAAACTGATTTATTACCACTGCCTAAAAATTTGACTGATTTATCAACAGCTACAACATTGTGTTTATCCGAAGGAAAAGTAAGATAGATTCTAAATTATTTGGACTTAAAGAAGATAATGATCATTAATTATGATTAGGATAATGTTGCTGGTTTAAGTATTGAAGAAGATATGAAAACAAACGAATCAATAAATTGTATAAAGGATTTCAAGAAGACTGAACAAAATCATGAAGTATTAAAAACTGTTGGTGTAATTATTTTTTAAATTTTTTGATTCTGCTAACTAAAGTATCTATATAAAGAATAATGTTTAATTTTTATCGATAGGCCGATGTGATCAAACCAGATAAATGTACAATAACTCAAGAAAAATCTAGACATAGTTTAACTAGATTGGCCAAAAGCAGACATTCCTTTTTATCTAAAGTAAGTAAAAAATTATCTTTATTAATTATTTATAGTGGCCAGATATTAAGTCAAAACTTGCTTTTTTTTATGTTTATAACAATGCTTGGAATCAATGCTTGACTTGGAAAAAAAATATTAAAAGTACTCTGATGACACATACAAATGTTGTGTCCCTAATTCAAAACTAATTAAAAACTGAATATAACCATGTTCATTCCAGGGGCATCCTCCGAGTAGGAACGGGCAATTGCCCTAATGAATTTTTTTCTTCAAATATTTATTTTTTATTATTTATACCGTACTAGGAAATGTGATTACATGAATACATTTTGTGTCCCCTATAAAAGGGCCTGTTGACACCATTGGTTTATATTCTTATGGCACCCTTAAACATGTTATATCACAAACCAAAAAATATTCCATAATTTATTATACTAATTTATAAACTGTAAACCATAATCTTAATATATAAATAAAGTATGCCGTGACATGGTAAATGTCTATAAGCCATGATGCATAATATATATTTTAGTACCATCCACCCACTTTTTTTCTCTAGTTGACCATTTTTTAAATGTTTTTATAAAACATAAATTAAAGAAAACTAAAACTAAATGAATGAAGTACCTATCTTATTATCTCCAAAATTTAGTTTTAACAAAAAAAAAAGAAAGTGAACTAGAAGGGTTCTATGTTATGTCAATAAATACTCACTTGTGTATGCTTACAAATTGTTTAATGTTAATGTTTGACTATCATTTATCATGTTACATTGTATCAATAACTAATATTACTTAGGTATACATTTATAAATGGTTTATTTTTTAAAAAAATATTAATTTTATCCTAGAAAATCAGATATTTTAGTTATAAATCAGTACTCAGTCCCCTGCATTCCTCATTAATCAAGCACTGGTTGACAATACTATTCCTAATTTATAATATGTTCCAACAGTATATAAATCATAATAATTGCTCTGTATTTTATATTTTATGGTATATTTAAATAGTTTTTCTTTAAATTTAAGTATCATTTTCGCCTTATTTTCATTGGGAATGTTAACGATTATACCCACAAAGATTATACTTTTTCTAAATTGAAATTCATCTTCAAACTTCCAACTTTGACTTAAATTAAGTCCATAGTTTATATTTTCTTCATTTTGTAGAACATATTTTAGATATTTTAGATTATAATGCATTTTTATGTATATTTTCATAGATCGCTTATTTTTAGGTTTATCATCATTCTGATTCTAATTATTACCTAGCATAATACTTTTATATAAATAATTTAAATTAATATTTAAAATTAAAACTTAGAACAAGTGCAGTATTGTAAAAGTATAATTATAAAATTTAAATTATTCTATAGGTGTATTATAACTAGGGCTTGGATGTTTATGAAATTTCATATTTTTTTCTATTTATCTAATTTAATGCTAACCTGGATACAAATTTAATTCATGTTCTACTGAATCAAATAATAATATTTTTATTTTGCATATTTTATGGTTTTGTTTTCTAATTACATATTTTGGAATTTTAAAAATAAAAATACATATTTCAATATTTTTTTTTTTTAAAAAACAATTGAAATTAACGATCTATACAATTAGTTCCATAATTTGTAAATATAAGTTTTATAGGACGTGGTAACTACAACCTACCACACATTGACGTAAAATATAAATGCTTAATTAAAAATAAATTATTTTTGACTTATCGTGTTTGTTTGGGATTATGGTACCTAATAAATAAAGCTCGGAAGTTGATGACCGTAAAAACATTAAAAAATGACCTATATAAAGATGCAAATATGACATAAAAATGACAAAAAATGTCCTTAAAAAATGACAAATATTTATTTTAAATTAATAAAAATACATTTTATTAAATATATTACTCTATTTTACTATAACATTCTATATAAATTTATCTAAATTTATCAAAGCTTACAAATTACTCAAAAATCAAAATCATTGCATTGAACAATTAAAGCATATTTAATATTATCAAAATTAAATTAACCACAATTATCTGTTTATAAATATTTATATTTGGAAAATCTCTCCACGTTCACTAAAGTGATTGGGAGAGGCTAACGAACATTAACCGACTAACACTAATAATGTAATAAATAATAAATAATAATGTAAATTAAAATAAATAAAACTTAATACAAATTTAAAAAATGGGTTTTAATTTTTTTGTGTATAATTTGGTGTTTTTATTGGCTAAAAATGAGATATTTAATAATTTTTAGCGCATATTTTGATTGCATATTTAGCAATTTTTTAGTACTTTAATGTATTCATATTACAGTAGTTTTTAGTGCATATACACCCGAGCCATAATTATAACATGTTCTATCTTTAAAGCTTTAATATTAAATTTAATGTTTGACATTTCATAAGTAAACTATATTTAAGTATATATTCACATTGTAATAATTAACAACCTTTATATTAGAATTTATCAAAAGATTATAAAATATAAATATTAATTTCTCTAAATAAAAGTAAATTATACATTTTATTTATTTTAATTTTAGAATGATACTAATAAAGATAAAAATGAGCAGCCTATTTTATTCCCTAAAAGAAGAAAATTCTCTAAAGAAAAAAAAAACACTACTAAAGTATCAAAAACCAAACAAAAATGTAGAGAAATAGTATTGAAAACTATTGAAAAGAAAAATAAAATGAACAAACAGAGCTTACTGTCCAAAGCTTACTTCCAAAACGATTCTTGTTTGGTATGTGGCAAGGGTCAAACAGAACTAGCATGTAAAAACAAAAAGTGTCCCAGAGTATTTCATCTAAGTTGTATGAACAAAACTAGAATTGTTAAATGTGAGTATATCATACCTCACTCATGAATTTTGTATTTTAATAACTGTCATATTCTATTTCAGCTGGATATATTTGCCCATCTCATTTTTGTTCTGTATGTAATAAAAGAAAAGTAGTGGCAAAATGTAAATTTTGTGTGGAATCTTTTTGTTCCTCCCATACAAAAGGGAATATATTTAAAGATCCACTGGGTCATGGGATGCTGTGTACTACTCATCATCCTAGTAAAGTAATTCAATGCCCTCGATTATTAATATAACTAAAAAAAAAAAATTCTTAATTTCTAATTTAACTTTAATTTTTGTTTTCATAGAAATCAATTCCCCCTGCAAGTATTGCTACTTATCAACCTAATAAAGTATGTAAATTACTCATTAAACTAAAAAAAATAAGTCAATCATACTTCATAATCTAACCTAAATATATATTTCTATAGCAATCAATGCCTCTTGCAAATGTTCCATTGACTCCTAGCCTGAACAGTCATGGTACAAGTAAAATAAACACCATCAATAATAACCTTGAGCCTGTTGATCTTATGGATTCAAACCTTGATGCAGTGATTACTGAAACTGTACCAGATGTTGATGAAGGTCAGTTCGATATTGATATTGATGAAATCAATGAAGAAGAGTACACATTGACACAGGTAATCAAAGATGAGTGTGATCGAGAATACATTCATATTGGTGGATTTAATGTGTGCAATATGTCAGACCTGGCCTCTGATCAAGTAGAAGAACATCTGAGACCTGTTGATACAGATGGTGATCTTTTTAAGCCATCATCAGCCAATGTTGTTATTGACATAGATTCAGCATCGGCATTGTATCAGCCTACTGATACTGTTCAACTAGTGTCTATTGCCTCAGAAAATAAAGATAACCACAACTATGCTAACATACAGTTCGTACCTGATACTAGTCAAACTAAAAACAAATGGTTAGCTGCTGAACCTTAAAGTTTACTTGGTACTCTTACTTTTAATATTGAATTTATATTCATTTTCTTTCAAAAATTGTAGTTTTTTAAATTCTCTTGTTTACCTTTTTATTTTTTTTACCTAATAAGTAATTTAATTGTTTTGACTAAATGATTGCTGATTAGACAATATTTTCCTTTTATTTAATTTTAATTTAAAAACTAATCAAATGTTGACCTCTTAAAGTTGTCTAATTTTTAGGTTTTACCATGAGTTGTTAAAGTTTGAAATATTTAAATATTATATTTAATGATAAATATGCTTTATAATATATTATTTAGGTAATATATTTTGTATGATTAGGTATTCCGCTATATGTGATTTTCCTTATTGGATGTGATGTATTTTAATGTGTTGGATTACAAATGTAAATATATTAATCGGAGTTAAATTTTATAACTTTTTTTTTTGTATCTATATATATTGTATTTATTTAAAAAATATTTTTCAAACTAAAATGTATTTAATTAACTGTGCACGTCACTTCTAAAATATTGTTTTAGTTATCACTAAAAATATGTACTGCAAAATTGAATATTTGTTTTTACCATTTTGCTTTTTATACTGGATACTGGTGGTGGATATGTCTGAAAAAACACTCTACTTAACCCAACATTTTATGGTCCAGTAACATTGTCATATTTATAAAAATTTGAAAGCAATGAGTGAATCAAATTCATTAGTTATTCATGCCGTCTTGGAATTTAAGTAAATACAAATTTAAAATTGTTGTGAACTATTGTTTAAAATTAAAAAGTATTTTAAAAGATAATTTTATTTTTATTATTAAAAAATTGTATATTTTAACTAATTTAATTAAGCACTTTATATTTACATATTACAGTTATTCTACTCGTCAATGCATTAAAAATATGGGACAATAATTAACAAATTATTTGATGTTCAAATGTTACACATTCATATTTCCAAAAAAATATTCTATTTGAATAAAAGTTTTAATTAAAATTGTTTTTAGAATCATTACAATTTAGTAACCCCCCTCCCCTATTGAAATTTCTACATACTCAATGGTTTAATAAGAAATAGTATATAATAATAGTATATAGTGTATTTTAATATTCTATTATCTTCAATATACAAATTTTATAGATTATATAATATACCTATAATGTATAAACCTTACTATATTATATTAACAGTAATGTGTTGGTATTGAGTTAAACTATAGTTATAATAAGAGAACAGATAAAATAAAAAATGTTGGACCTCCTCCCCCCCATAAAAAATTCTTAGGTACGCTCCCGTCCAGATTAAAACATAGCTAAAAATTTAAAAATGAAGGGAACCAAAATAACAGCCATCATTACAAATGTTATTGGTGCAGCTATTTTTTAAGTGATACGAGGATTTTATTGAAGATACAAAAATTTGATTACTACAGTACGAGAATACCTGTTTGAAAATCTGGTAATCCTGGACCAATGTTAAAACCAATTGTTCTGTATTTACTATTTAAAGTACATGTTCTGTAAAATGTTCATAAATAAATTTATAAATCATAAGAATATTTTAATGTTTTATAAATGTAATATAATAATCCAATACATAAGGTATAAAATTAAAAATTTAATTTAATATATGAAAATCTATAATTTGTTTATGAAAATTCTATTTATTTAGTTTGGAAAATCAGGTTATCAGCTATAAATAACAATACACTTCGTTTCTATTCTATGGATAATTATCAATTCTTAAAATATTGTGTATTTCCAGAAATACGGTATGTATGTATATGTATGTGTGTGTGTACATCACCATAATATTTATATAATATTTGTAAATTAATATTTTAATAAATATAACTAATGTTTTTAGTGTCCAATTTATATTATTAATTAAATAAAAATTTCAATAAATTACTCTTATGGTAAATTGGTTAAATAATAATTATTTCATAGTCTTCCAGTTTAATATATATATTGTAAAATTATAAATCCCTTCCTATATCGTGGGTTATTCCTATTTATGAGTAGATTGTTAAATTAAAATGTCCCTCCCTTGAAAATTTTCCTATGGGCGCCCTTGCTTAGGTGTACGAATACAAATAATAAAATATAATAAATACATTTTAAAACCACTGATTTGCAAATTTGAAACTTACTTTAAATATTCAATTCTCGTAATCTTCTCATTTATGTATTCAGTCATACAATTTTCCAAGTATTTGTTATTTCTTTCCAGTTTACTAATAATTTGCTAGTCAGCGCCGGCGGAAGGGCAGGGCAGAAGGGGCAGCTGCCTAGGGCTTCGACATTTTAAGGGCCACACGCCTTTCATGGCATTTTATAATTTTTAACCAGTCATTTACCGAATCGGTTTTAGCGTTTCGCTAAGGTTAAATTAATATAAGGAATCACCTGTTCAAATAAAAATAGATTGTTTTGAAACTCCATATACCTCTTATCTAAATAATATTAAATTATTGTTTTTGAAATGTAGGTCGAGAAATGCACTGCGGACTTTAGTCTTACTGTTAGAAATGTTACCCCAGCGGTCCTTTTCTTGCATACAAGAGAGTAATTTTTTTAGAACGATAATAATTTAAGGATCATAATTTTGTTTGATTAGCTCATCACATACATTTTTAAATCTTTATGATAATACAATTACAATAGATGTAGTCATATATTTATCCCCACTTATAGTTTTTGTTGCTTCTTCGAAAGGACATAATACTACGGAAAACTCTTTTATTATGTTCCACTCATCTACTTTACTCATCCTTTATGAGAATTGTCTAGAAGTCCAAGAGTTCCACGAATAGAATCTTCAAGTTCAATATTTTGTTCGATCATGTACTGTGTTGTATTCCACCGAGTACTGAGATTCTGAAGTATTTTCTTTGGTACTTTTGCCCCAATATTAATTTGGTAATTATTAAATTTATTATTAGCTGATGCGTACTTCTACGCAGAGCTTGCGCTAAGAAAATTTTAGAACTACCTAACATTTTAATATTTTTGTACATGCAGATTAGATAAATTTGTCGCTCGCTAAATTCGCTTAACAACTACTGTTAACTAAACTATATATTGACTACACGTGTAAACACTTTATACATTACTTTATTTCAATTTGTTAATAATAATAAAAGATTAAAATATTTTTTTATTTTTTATATAATAAAAAATATTAAATAAAATACATAATTAAATTAAACAATATTAAAAATTCCAATAATACAGAAAACTCACGATTTATGGTACTGATCAAATTGGTTTTTAGAATTGCCCATTTTAATTTAGAACTACTATTAGGACAAGCTCTGCTTCTACGGAAAAATGACACAATTGTTTTATTTTTTTCTAGAAGACTAGATTTTAGTATTAAGGCATCTTGGACAATCAAGTTTAACGTATGAACAGAACATCCGGAATGTTTAACCTGAAGTATGGATAAAGCTATTTTTATATTATATGTGTTGTCTGACACTGATAAAATAATTTTAGTTTGTGAATTCCATTTTTTTAAGGTTGAATCTATTTTTACACTAAAATTTAAACTTGTATGATTTTCAGAGAACTTATGACAGTCCAATAAAACAGATCTTAGAATAGAATCGTCGTCAATTAAATGAAACGTAATTGCAATATAAGCAAAAAAATGGCAGTTTTATCACTACTCTCCATCACGAATTTACAGTGGAGTAGGGTCCATTGTTGCTAAATCGATACACGGGGCCCTCATTGCCCATGAGGTTACTAATAAAAATAATTCTGTTGCTACGCTACTGGGTATACATGTCATGTATACTGGAAGATATCTGACATCAATTGTCTATGCTCTAATGCTTCTCCTAATGCTTTTCTAAGTATAAAACTGCGCGTGATTTGGTGTGGACCGTCATCATTCGCCGCGAAGGTTAATTAATGTACTTAAATAAATGTTTTATATAGGTACGTGGAAAATATTAAATTCACGCGTTAGATAAACCTATCTGAGAATGGTTTTGAAACAAAATTTTTATTTGGGCCGGGAACCGGGAGGTCATCGTTGTCAATATTATTATAATGCGTGTATGCATTATGCAAGATCAAGGCGTAAGCAATCGATGTATCGGTTACCTACCTACAACGTCATTATAATATACGCGGCAGGTATCCACTAGCTGTTATTTTGCGGTGAGCACACGAGTATAATATTAACCAGGGGTCGGTAAGTAATTTATATTGGAGTCCTAAAGATTAAAATAATAAATCATTGAGGTCCAGTGAAAAAAATCTTTGTCAAATATTTTATATTTGAAAAATAGCAATATAAAAATAAAAATATATAACTATCTAGTTGTTACAGTTATTTTTATAATTAAAATTACAATATTAAAGGTATGAAACTAGATTTACAATATGTTTAAATTAAAAACTACAATATTAGGTCAATAGTAATAATTTTGTATGATAATAATAATAATTTATCAAGTAATTTAATGCGAAAAATTGAATTTCTTTTCCTTAGCCAGTTTTTTGAAATCGGGAACTCGTAGGGAACAACTTATGCGCAATGTGTTCTCAAGGTGAAAGTATGTTAATTTTGTCCGATATTTGTTTTTCAAAAAATGTAATTTTTGAAAATGATGCCTCAAAAATGTACGTCGAACTAAACATCGTAGCCAAATTATTGACAAGTTGATACTTGTGAATGACATCCTTATCCCAGTATTCTGCAAATGACGAATTTCTGTATATTTTAAAGTTGCTTACACACTAGACAGATTGTTTGCGCGCAGTCGTGGTTTTAAATCGGCGTAATTAATCGCTTACGATAAAACAGCCAATTTTAGATTAGATCAATCTCACTATAAAATCCATCGTCATCGTTCATTTTGAGTGAACATTTGCTGAAGACGGCTAAAATTAAACCCGTTGTTTTTGTACGGCGCCTAACCGCGATTATTTACATTTTATAGAGAATGCGGTGGTCTGTTTCTGTAATTTTTGTATAGTTGTCTTTGGATATTGCAATATATTTTTAAAATTACTTATATATTTCAACATGAATTTTGATTTGGAACATTTTATCATTGAAATATGCCATGAAAATAGTATCTGGAACTTAAGTACGTAAAATACCTATACACATTTTATGAAAACATGATTAATCAAATAATTTTTTAATTATTTATTATTATATACATTGTAGAAACCGAAGAATATTACAATATAATTATTAAAAATAATAGTTAGCTTAAGGTAGTAAAGACCAC